AGCCCTAAACCCAAGCCCTTCTAACGCCCATGGCTTTCGTCTGAGGCTTCCTGAAGGCAAAGGGCTGGTGGATGCCCCTCGCACGCATTCAGGGTTCCTTTAGTGATTCCTTTAAGGGCTTTAGGGATTCCTTTAAGGGTTCCCTTAGGGAATTCCTGTTTAGGGGTTTAGGGGTTTAGGGTTTAGGGTTTATGGTTTAGGGTTCCTTTAGGAATTCCTTTAAGCATTCCTTTCTGGGATTCCTTTAAGGCTTCCTTTAGTGATTCCTTTAAGGCTTCCTTTTGGAATTCCTTTAAGGGTTCCTTCAGGGATTCCTGTAAGGAATCTATAAAGGGTTATGGACCTATGAGGGTTTGGGGTTTGGGGATCCGGTCAGACATGAGTTACGCTTTGAGCTTGGGCTCCTTCAGGTCTCTTGGGCGCTGGGAGTTGGGTTAGATCAGTCAGGGACTTTCGGATTTAGGGGTTTAGGCTTTAGGGGTTTCGGGTTTAGGGTTTCGGGGTTTAGGGTTTCCGTGTTTAGGGGTTAGGGGTTTAGGGATCCAGTCTGACCGGAGGCCTAAACGGCTTAGGGTGCAGGTCGGGTTCAACCCGGCCAACTCTGAGGCATCCATAACCAAGGAGGTTCCTGGATTCTGGACCCTAAGCCCTCAGAGTTTAGGGTGTAGGGTTTAGGGGGCATCCCTAAACCCTAAACCGACCATTTAACGAGAGTTTTTGCCTGTTTGGGCTGGAGCGCTGCCAACCCGTAACTCACAGTGCAGCATTCAAAGAAGTCATAGCTTGGGATACGGCTTAAGCAGCGGGGGCCCTGATTTCGGAACCCAAAGCTAGCCCTAGACCCGAAACCCAAAACCGTCTGAGGACTCTGCCGGATGAGGCATGGCCGAAGGCTGGGCAATGGTGGTTCAACCCTAAACCCTAAACCCTAAACCCCTAAACCCCTAAACAGGAATTCCTAAAGGAACCCTGAACCCTAAGCCCATGGTCTGTCTTTACTGGACCCCATCGTCTTGGGTTTAGGGCTTGGGGGTTTCAACCTCGTGCTGCCAGCAGAGGGCTCAGGAGTGAGATTTCAGCACATCCCTAAACCCTAAACCCCTCAACCCCTCAACCCCTCAACCCCAAACCCCAAACCCTAAACCCTAAACCCCAAACCCTAAACTAAACCCTAAACCCCAAACCCTAAACCCTAAACCCTAAACCCTGATTGCCCCAACAAGGGTTTAGGGTTTGAGGTTTAGGGTTCAGGGTTTAGGTCCAGAATGTCTTCAAGATGTTCGAACCGTGCGTCAGCGTCCTTCTCGCGCACCTTGGAAGGCATTGGGCGAGGTGTCGCAGATGTGGCGACGGCTTCAGATTTCGAGCTTGAAAAGCGTAAAGGCTTAAGGTTTATAGGGCTTATAGGGCTTATAGGGTTTATAGGGTTTATAGGGTTTATAGGGCTTATAGGGTTTATAGGGTTTATAGGGTTTAGGGTTTCGGGTTGTTGAGGGTTTAGGGTTAAGGCAGTGGAGAGAAACCTTGTATCCCCGAAGCTTGCAGCCTTGAAGGCCGTATGATACCCTAAACCCTCAACCCACGGTTTGGTTTAGGGTTTAGGGTTTAATATGCCCTTCATTCTATATCCCTAGAACTCCAAGTCCCTCAACACCTAACATACCTAACTGTAGAGCACTATCCTAAAACCCTATACTTGGAGGCTCATCGGTAGTTAATGGTACTTATAAGTATTAGCCTAACTATTTTTGTAACCCAGATTCGGGGACTTATAACGCCGCTTATAACTTAACTACCCATGAGCCTCCAACTACACTTCCAAACCCCTGCACTTTGTCGCTCCTCCAAGCCTTCGACATGCGCTGGGCGCTGCAAACCGTCCTGGAAATCCTTCTGCCTGGCAAAACTCGCATGAGGTTTTCGGGTTTGAGGTTGGAGGGCTTGCAGCCTTTCAGGTTTAGGACTTATGGCTCAGTTTAGAGATTTATCACCCTAAACCCTAAACCCTAAACCCTAAACCCTAAACCCTTATTTGAGATTTCATGGATTTCCAAAGCTTTCCGGGCCAGCTTAGGCACATCCGCACGTCTTTGGGCATGGCAGTCTACCAGGAGTTCATGCTCTTGCAACCTGCCACATCAAGAGGATAGGACAGCAGCTTTCGCTGGGGTGTGACTGTTGGGTATGCTTGGTTACAGTTTCGGGTTTCGTCTCGGGGGATATACCTTTCAGGTTTCCTTTTGTCGAGCTTCGGATCGAAGCCTCGTCGGTGCTGGACGGACTTGGTGCATCTCAAACTTGAACTTTTGGGAGTTCTACGAGTCGTCGGCACAAGCCTGGTGGAATCTTGGGATCCGGCCCTCTAGAACAAGGAAAGATCACTTGTAGAACCGTCGTATAAGGTCCTTGGAGAACCCTTCTTAACCCCAGGACCCTCAGTGCATGCGTGCTTACAGGGGTGGACCGGGGTGAGCGCATTCCGCAAGACGACCCGTCCTGCGGCGCTGAGTAAGGCTTTACAGAGTCCAGGGCTTGAAACGCTTTCAATGAATGGCTAACCCTCCACCCCAAACCTGAACCCAAAAATCCTGAACTGAACCCTAAGACCCTACAAACCTAAAGCCCTAAAAGCCTAAACCCCTAAACCCTAAACCCTAAAACCCCAAACTTTATAAACCCTAAACTCCCCAAACGCTGGGGGGCTTGCTTGAGTAGAGGACACGTAGCAGGGAACTTCCCGGGCCACGCCTTGAGATCCGTGGGCGCTTCGCACACTTCGCGCCGGTCATGTCCCACAGGAAGTTTAGTTTAGGATTTTAGGGTTGAGGGGCTTGGGGTTTAGGGGTCTAAGGGTTCAGGCTGTAAGTCAAACATCGCAGCACCCCCCGTCGCAGCATCGCAGGTTAACGAGCTTTTCGCTCAACAAGCCCTACTACAAAGCATCTAAAGCCTAAAGCCTAAACCCGGACCCGAAGCCAAAAAAGAGGAAAACCCCAACCGTTTCAGGTGAAGATGAGGGTTTAGGGGTTTAGGGTTTGCAGGGTGTGGGGTTTGAGAAGAACCCTACACCCCATGAGCCCCAGATTTTAAACCCAACGCACCCCCGCTTCAGGTGGAGATATTTGATCCTCCACCTGCCTGGCCACGTCGTTGATGCTGCCCGCGAGGATGGCTCGACATTGCTGTCGGCGATGCTTCAGCACCTTGGATTCAGTTTTGATATAGAGCTGAGTAGTTAACTACTAGTACTATTCCTTCAGGGTTCCGGCCGCAATGATAGTAGACTATGCCCCTCTCATTTAGGTTTCATGCAGTTTGGGTCTGAATAAGGGTGTTTGACAGACGATGTGAGGAGGCAGTAGCTGTAGCTGTGCCCCGATGGAGTGTAAGCTACACTGCGGGCATCCAGGACTCAAGGGAACCGTAAGAGTCCCCATTAAAGTGTTTAGGGTTCATAGCGCCTGGGGATTGAGGTTAAAACCCTAAACCCCGAAATCCCTAAACCCCTAAACCCCTAAACCCCTAAACCCTAAACCCCTAAACCCTACATAAACGTTTAGGGCATTATAGTGGACTCTGGGTATTCAGATCCCATCCTGCCAACTTTTGTCAGGTAAGACCAATTTGTCGGACTAGGTACTAGAGTTACCCATAGGCCTCATAGTAGTTCCTGTTTTTGTGGCTTCTATTTAGGATCCTATTAGGGAATCCCAAAAAGGAACTACTATGGGGCCCGGGCCTATGGGTAAGGGATTGAGGGTCTAGGGGTTTACTTGTTTTTTTGCTTTGAGGGTGCAGGGTTCAGAGGTTACGGGTTTGCGATTTAAAGATTCAGGGTTTGGCAGGGGTTTAGGCTTCAGGGTGCTCGCAGGCCATCGGAAGTGAACCTGCATCTGAATCACCTCTAGTCCGCCACCAGTGCCCAACTTCACAAAAAACAATCCCTTTTCAGGCATGAACCCTTTTTAACCGTGAACCTAAGCCTAAAAGCCCTAAACCCAAAACTTTCAACTTTACACCCTAAGCCTTGAACCCCATGTCTGCATGTTCCAGGTTTCTGCATGACGCAGATCCCGATGGGCTGGATGCCATTGTCCTTGCCTTTGTTGAGCACAAGCCGCTGAAACCAGAGGTGCCCTTGACTCAATTTAAATTACGAACTCAGGATGTGAGGCCTAACCAGACCCTTGGGTTTAGCAACCCTAAACCCTAAAGCTTAAGCCCTGAGTAAGCTCAGCCCTAAGCCTAAGTAACACCACATCTCCGCTTATCTCTGTGCAGTGTCCTCCCTGTCCATGTTCATGGGTGGCCAGCTCATTGGCCATCAGCGAAGCACGAAACAAGTCGGCCATGTCAGCTAGGGCTCGGCTTCTTTTCAAGAGGTGTTGTTTCTGATTTCTCGTGCCTTAGCAAGTATGTTATCCTCGTAACATCATATCTAGGGACTAAGAGGTTACTATCGAGATGTTGTAATTATGCCCCCTGCAGTGGTTTACAACTATTTCGTGTTACGTCGGGGGTAACGAGATTTTTTGCTGTGGCCACAAGGCGCTCTTGCCGGGAGGTTCCCCGGGAAGCAGCTCCCGCTGTGGTAGTTCGCACTCATCTCGGTTTAGGATTTAGGATCCGCGAGGCCATGTCCACAGAAAGCCACTGTAGAATCTTGAGCAGTCGTTGGCCTCCTTGTTTCTTGGAATGTCTGAATCCACCGGTATCCCGAGAAGATCTGAGAAGCATTTTGGCCGTGCTCGTGAGTCCCGCCAGTAGCTGGGGGCAAAGGCTGCAAAGGCATAGTGGCCTCGGTCGGTGCTGTCCTGGTGGTCTGTGTCCTCTGGAAGTCTCTGGTGCCGTCTCGTGGTGTCTCCGGCTGCTGGTGGCGGTGGTGGTGGTCGTCGTGGTCGCCGTGTTGTCGTCGTGATCGTCATGGTCGTCGTGCTGCTTTATCCTTGCTTGGGGATCGGCGATGGCAGAATGTGTTGTGTAGCGGCTCCTGGCATCTCAGCCGTGTAAGCTCTGGTTGCTCGCATCAAACCCCTGAGGCCTTGACGGCCTAGTCCCGTGCTGACCACCCACGAGCCAGGTCTTGAACCGCAAGGTGTTCGACCGGAAGAGACAACTGTCCATCCCCTTGCTATGGTACTGCCACTGGACTGCAGTCAACAACCTCAAGCCCTGAAACCTAACGGTCACCTACCAATGTGTCTCAAACAAGACTGTTGGGGTTTGGGATTTAGGCTTTGTGGTTTCGAGGTCTAGGGGTTTAGGGTTTAGGGCAGCCCCTAAGCGAAGACTGAGAACACTCCCAATTTGTGCATATTCGGGATCACGGGCCAGGTAGTTGGTGGGTTTAGGCGTCTTAAACTGTTCAGCCCTAATACTTCTGCCCTTAAGTTCTCCCCTCCGCAAACTAGGGTCCAGGCTTCAGTTAGGGTTTGCATTATACATACACCCAAACATATACTCGTACAGAGACAGACAGCTACCTACCTAAGGAAGCAGCAATTGATGGCAGCATTCCTCAAACCCTACCTTAAGAACCCAAAACCTACTTTTTGTAGGGTCCTTATAAATCCCATATTAGGGTTTATCATAAGAAGGCAATCCCTAAACTGCGCAGTCCGCATCCTTCAAGTTCTCTTCGAGTAAGGGTCGTGCCTCATGAAACCACCGGGAAGCTCCTGTTGCTCCGTTCGTATGTTCACAAAAACGGATGCTTCCGTATATATATATATATATATATATGTATGTATATATATATATATATGTATATATATATATATATGTCGGCCTCAACAGTGAAGTAAGGCGAGGCTAGTGGTGATTCGCGATCATGCTCCTGCTTGCTCTTGATATCAAGTTGATATCCTAGTTCTACGCTATCAGCTACGTCAGGTTGTTCGTTCTTGATGCGACGGTTTTGCTTTCCGAACTCTAAGATCCCCAAATCCTTAAATCGCCTCACCGCGACCCTCAACCCTACAGTAAACCTAATCTCCTGTATCGCCTAAACCTGAACTCCTAAACGAAACCAATCCTGAGCTCCTAAAATCAATAGTCTAAGTCTCCGAGCCCCCAAACCCTCACCCTTAGGTTTGAAAGTTTTGGGTTTAGGGTTTAGGGTGGGATGGAGGGCTTTAGGGCTGAACCCCTGAACCAGTCCATGTTAGGCCCTCAATTTTACAGCTTGAGGTCTGAACCAACTCAGGATACAACCTGAAGCCAACTCATGAGCAACCCCAAACCCTGGACACCTGAAGCCCTAAACTCTTGGACCCCTAAGCCCTCAAGCCCAAAGCCCCTAAACCCCTAAACCCTTACACCCTTAAACCTGAACCCTTAAACCCTTAAGCCCAAAACCGCTAAACCCTTACACCCGTAAACATCAACCCTTAAACACTACCTAGACCCCCAAAAACCTACCTTTCTCAGGACATATATAAGGAAATCATAACAAGGAGCCCTAAAAAGGTAGGTTCTTCAGGGTCCAGGTAAACCCTAAGAGGGTTTAGGGTTTTGGTGCTCTCACTCTGACAATCCAGGCGAGGTTCTGAGTTTCGTGGTACTTACGGTCCAAAAC